GTACCGTACCGGTACCTATTTACTTATTCAGGTAGGTACATCACAGGTACCGTAGTACCGGTGGGGTTGACAGGTACCTACTGTACCTACCTACCGGTACTTTTGTGACAGTTTGTGTACCGTCTAGCGTAAGTAGGTAGGTACCGATACCACCGTACTTGCTCTGGTACCTACCGTATCCCCGCCACGGGCCCGCCACAGCTCTTCTTGCAGCCAATGCCGTTAGATGGCTAAGTTCAACATCGTCGGCGGGAAATGCTTGACCTCCGAGTCCGGAGTCCGGACTCCAGCCTGCCTAGCTGTCCTAAGCTATAGAAGTAAGTTCCCCCGGGAACCAGTACCGATTCAAATTCCAAACACAAAAAGACACATGCTTGAACCGTCCGATTTGATGGGGAGAACCGGATCGTAGGCTGTCGTAGGCTCCGATATCTTGGATACAATGTTCAAATCTAGACCCGCAAGATATTTGATGTGCAGTGTGCACATCCGGCAATGATTGGGGGGGCAGAATTTCCGACTAGATAGTGATCATAGCAATGCAGCCATATATGAGATTGGGTCCTTCTTCCTTATGCATACGATGCTGTGAGGATTGACACTAGACGCAGAAGGTCGTCTGCAATACCCGATGCGGTGTCAATGAAGAACGACTTCTGGTCCGAAGGGCTCCGACCGTTTTTAATACCACACCCACAGGCTGTAGGTACATAGCTTATATGCCACTGTATGTGAACTGCTGTTGGCGGCAGATTCGCGCAGAGCCAGTTGAAGCTCTGGCGTTGCAATTTGCTCAAGTGCAGCCTGCACTTGCCACTAGGTACTGAACTTGAAGCAGCCTTCAGGCTCAGCAGCTTCAGCTGTTTGCATTCGGCGCCCATTCGGCGCTACGATCCCTCGAGCATTGTCCATCAAAACCGCAGTCCTTGCCAGTACCTAATCCTACCTAGTTTACGGATTGGTCCTCCAATCCGTTGTTGGACTGCTGTTGCCTCGTTCCAAGAGGTCACATTCGAGAGGTCCTTGTCAATTGGTGCTGAGGGGTCGCAGAGTTATCTGGGGTAGACTCTTTCGTGCTCTATCCTCCTCGACATCTGTAGGAGCTCACATCAGATCTGATACCAAAGACTGAGTCAGCAAGTTGGCATATCTATCCAGCAATTTAATCCAGGTATCTACCAAATCAATTGGTGCATCAGCACGTGCTGTGAGCATTAATCTTGCGCGGCGGCTGGTTGGTTTACAGAGAGGATTGCAGTGGTGCTCAAGCTGGGCCAAGGGTTCTAAAGTACGTGCGCTTCATCCGGTACACTAGCAAGGTGTGGAAGTCTTTCCTGGTGATTCTAGAGAATTGAATTGCCCCTGCAGATCTAGTATCCCAAAGTCAGGCACCACGGCCTCCAGAGTTGGAAGTTTCATGTTGGATCAGCAAGCATTGATTGGTGCACATTATGGTTGCTACCATGTTCAGCACTAGTTTGTGAATGTCCGACTCCCAGCGGGTCTATGCTACAAATGCCATCTTCATGGCTGCTGCTTGCCAGGACTCCTTTGAACAGTTTACGAGGGGGAAATCAATGATGTACTGTTGAAGCGGAATTTGACTTGTGTGGTAGCTGTTAGTGATTCTGCAAGCTGTTTGTTTGTTTGACGGAGCTGTTGTCGCTGATCTGATTGGAGCATCATAAAGGAAGATGTAATCTGCTTGACAAGCAATTGCAGCGATCTCGGGAAATTCTGCACCTGCACATCATTACCGGTATGCTAGATCCACATTCAGGGCCTGTGAGACTCCGTTCAACATCTGGCGCACATTCAGATCTATCAGAGATTGTCTTGCTGAATTAGAGCACCCCTCATGTGCACATATCAAGGCGTAGAGCAACGGCGCCTGCAAAAGAACTCGCCAACCCTTTGATTCTGATCTGTGCGCTTGCGAACAATTTACTGACATGATCAGGCAGCTTTTGCAAGCGGTTCGGTTGGTATCGTGACGAATCGAGTTGAGAACAGCTGGCCCATTTCAAAGTCTCATGGGACCACTAAAATTGTCTATCCAGAGAAAGCGTCCCTTGCTTTGATGGTTAGTGGCAGATTTGGCTGTTTGTGGGCAGTGTTGTCATCGTGGCAGGAGCGTCATCTCGCTTCTCCTTGATCGTACAGTGCCAGTTCGTGACTTCTCCGTATTCAACGGCACCACAATCTTGATGGCAGTCCATTCAGCCACATACATGTTCCTCAAAAGACTCCATTCCTTGTCTCTTTTGGCAAGAAGAGAACTTACAGTCTTTGGACATTTTGTCACATTCATAATCGTGCCATCAAGTTCACTTTTACATCTCCAAATTCACTCTGCTTCACTCTGCGTCAATTAGCTACTCTTCTAAACATGAACCCTTGCTAACAAATCTGCTGATTCAGAAGCTGCTTTAAACGATTGGTCCATACTCACCTGATCAATTGGCGCCTGATGCCACCTCATTGAGCTTCTCTCTGACTGGAAAGCCCCCAGTTAACAGGAGAAGCTGTCAGATATTACATTCTCAAATCGCTTCTCAAATTTTCAATCCGTCCCCTGTACCTAGTTAATCGCCTCTTGTGAAGTATCTGCAGTGATAACTCTTGCTATGTGATAAAGCCCCAGGCAAAGAAAGACTCGGCTACAGATGTTTCAAAGAAGGCCAACTCCCAGGCTGATGCGAGGATGGTGGTTTTGTTTTTGCAGATGGCTCCTCAGGCCGAGAAGACCGAGTTTGTTGTTGACGACGATATCCGCAAGGCCGGCCTTCTCAGCCGGCGGAAGCCATCGGCTGCTGGTTCCACTGCAGAAGGCCCGGTGAAGATGTTCACGAAGGAGGAGGTGGCCAAGCATGACAGGCCCGAGGACTGCTGGATGATCATCAGGGGCAAGGTGTACGATGTCACGGCTTGGTGAGCAATGTTGTCAGCTTACAGCTTTGAGCTGGACCTGTAGGACGGCAGTTGGTGAATCTTTGGTCTCTGTGACCTTGGCGGGGGCCAAAGTGGATCTGGTTGTTGGGGCAAAGAAGTGTGCCGGCAGGGCTTGCATCGAAGGAGGTGATCAAAGGCCACTTTCAGATGGAATCCGTTCTCGAAGGATTGCCTGAGTGGTCGAAGTGCTCCCAGGGGAAGCGCTGACCTGGTTATCGCGGACAGAAGGTCACTGAGAAAGGAATTGCTGCATGCATCACCAAGCTTACGTTGACATGCCCGCTTTGTCAAGTACGATCTCATCGAGTAAGACACAGCACTTTGTCGTTTGAGGCTTGCACCTCACTTTTCAAGGTCACGGCCAGCCTTCTTTTAGCTTAGTCTTGCATACTCGAGGAACGGCCGACTGGATGACCCAGTCACCACAGTGGGCAAACAGTAAAGGTTGTCTTTTCAAAGCACTCATCTTTTGTGAACCGTATCCTCTTTGCACCTCCAAGGAGGTGCAAGAAGGATCGATGTATCTGCTGGAGCAACAAGCCAAACAAAGCGACTGTTCTGCATCCTCATACAAAATGACCCGGGAAACTCTAGAAAGACGCAAAAAGAAGCGAGGAGAGCACCAACTGAGCCAAAAGCCTCTCTACCTTCTGCAGGGTACCCAAGCACCCGGGGGGCAGCCTGATCTACGTTAAGGCTGGATATGAGAACACGCAGCTCTTTGAGTCATACCACCCGCTTTACGTCAGGTGAGAACTGCTGAGCTTTGACACCAAGTTAATTTGAGAGCCATGCTCTCTGCGCTGCCAACTCACAAAATGTGCTGTGGTGTAATGAAGAACGGGAATGAATGGGCTATCTTGCTCATTGTTCTGTCTACGGCTGTTTCTTGCTGCAATCATCTTCTCTACCCTGCCATCATTTCTATCTGTCAGCTCCTTCCAACAGCCATCATTTCTTCACCAATCGAGGCAAACGGAAAGGTTTGAGGATCCTGCGTCCGCTTAGGAATGAGGAGCAAAGTCTTTGCTAAGTGGCTGTGCAGAAAGATGCTGGACAAGTTCTACATTGGCGATCTTGAGCGGCCTGCCGGTGCAATTGCCGAGCCACAGTGGGGGTACGTCGAGTACGACGATGATGAGTCGGAGAGCAGTTTCTACAACACGATGAAGCGCAGGGTTGAGGCGCACTTCAAGAGCAAGAAGGTGAGACTAGACCTTGCCTCTTAGATAATCCAAAGACTGTTGGCTGGGCGGAGTGCATTGAGAAAGTATGCAATCTGTCCTGCCACGAGAGAAGGCCCAGGCGGGCAGGACCAGCCCTGTTTGCGCTGGCCAGCAGAGGTTTGACAATTCGATAGGTGGATGTAATTGATTGGCTGGATCCCAAGCGGGCTTTACACGCTAGCCGTTCAGATGGTTTCCATAGTGTTGGTGTTGATGCAACAAGTTGGACTGTGAGTGGATAAGATGGATCCGAAGCGCCATATGGCGAAAAAGCTTGCGCAAGGGCTTTGGGAAGGATGCCTGTGAGCACAGCCGAAACGAGCTTATGTGCTCCAATTTTAACTGAAGGCAGAGTGGAAAGTAATGAAAGCGACTACAAGAATAGAAGAGCACGGTCAAGCTATCTCGAGATGTTTTCATGCAGAACGCCTTCTCAGAACACTTCGTGCTGAAGTTTCCCTTGGCGGTGCTATCCCCGTTGTGTGGTGTTCGGAAAGTTGTGGTTAATTACTTGCGATACAGTGCTCGAGGCACTACATGTTCGAAGTGCTCCCATATCCTATCCCCTTATGCTGTTGGACATGAACAACCAAACAACAGAGAGTTGATGACTGATCCTTCTTTTGTTCAATTCTCCAGATCAACCCCCGCAACCACCCGCTGATGGTGTTCAAGTCGTTCTTCATCCTCTTCTCGTATGCGGCGTCCTTCTACTTCACCTTCCTCTGGTGCAGCAACACGTGGCTGTGCGCGCTTGGCGCGGCGTCGATGGGGTTCTTCGCAGCACAATTCGGGATGTCGATCCAGCACGATGCGAACCATGGTGAGTCCCTTCACTGAGGTGTTCATTGCAAACGTTGGGGTAGGGAAAAGGGAGAGAATGGGGTGATCGAATCCCAAGATTTTCGGAGGGGCTGCCTAGATTGCCTTTTTTAACCTGTGTACTCGGTCGAGGTTCGCATCTGCTTCTGCTGATTACAAACAAGCATCGTAGGGTTGTGGCTGTTCATGTGCTGAAACGAGCCGGGTCCGCCTCATTGCTCGACAGCGTGGACTGAACCAAGTTCACCTCCAGAAGAACTACGATAAGCGGGGAGAAACTCGGTTGCTCATCGCGTGCCACATTTGTTTTTTTCTGAAGCCCCGCACCCAGTTTCATTCCATGCTCATGCACTGTTCTCGTTTACTTTCAGGGGCCTACACGGATTGGCTCGGACTCGGGTACTTCATGAGCCTCACGCTCGATTGCATCGGATTGAGCAGGTACGTGCAGTCACTCTATGCGCGTATCGATCTTGCTTGTGAGCATTCAGGCTGAGGGGTGAAGTGTCAAGAATGTGGGTCAAGCCCTGGCTTCGTCTATTTTAGCAGGACGAACAACGTAGATTGTGGGATGGGCTTCCGTCCAACGTTTGCTAGACTTCCTCTGCGCCAATAGAAAGCAGAGCTTTCGTACCTCCGCGTACCTTGCACTCGACCTCTTTTAACGATGAACCTGTCCCCGACGAGTTGTGCCAGAGGAGTTTTGAGTCCCTGGCTGACGGCATGCTATATTTGACCATCAAGATTTTTCGCTCTGCTTCGTCACGCTCCAGCTCTTTCTGGAGGTGCTAGGCGTGTAACAAGAAGACTTCCTGGCAGTCAAAAGCCATTTACTAAAAAGAACTTGTCCTTCGCCTTTTTAGCTTCATGTGGCGGCAGGAGCACGTGGTCGGGCACCACGCGTACACGAACGTCGACCAGCAGGACCCCGACTTGAGTGAGTGAATCGTTTCCGGGATGTCTGCGACAGTTGCCGTCAGCGCAGCACTCTTTGTACACACGTTCGAACTTCTGACTCTTCCGTGGATCATCTACACGCACGTTCGTAGCTCCTCAAGAAACTGCGATCTTTTGAGATCATCTACATTTGTCTCCACCTCGGTAGAGCCGCAGCGAGACCAGATGGTCATTTGTCCCAGTTAACGAGATGCCTTCTACGCGGTTCTCGCGGGACGAGGTGGACCTTTCGTACATGATGCACCCCTGTCTCAGGCCTGTCAAACTCAGGTTAACATGTTACGGCGCCAGTACTTGTTGGGTGCAAATGTAAAGGGTTTCAACGATGTAGGAAACTCCCCACCTTTGTGGGATGTACCGCATGCTCGCGTCAAAAACAACATGTTGACCCAAGGTTGAAGGGGCCCGAGTGTATCTGAGCTTCTACTGGAAAGGCGTAACCAATTGAGAAGGGTAAAAGCTTGTCGGACCCAGTAGTAATGTTCAATCAACGCACGTGTGCAGGCCCGGGCGTGTCAGGGAAGCAGGCTGACGTCCTCCGCATGACTGAGAACCAACCGAAGGCAGGCTTCCACGCTTACCAGGTAAGGGCTCCTGTTCTCGTTTGCTCCTTCTCTGTCCTCGAAAAAAGTTTGCTCGCACTCAGGGTCAAGAAAACCACAGATAAAAATAGTTATCTGTTTTAGGACACTCCATGCTCGGACCCCTCTCTCGAACGGTTCAAAACGAAACTTTCGCTCGTCTTTGCGAGCCTGCCAATCTACAGTACCTCTGTCAGGATTAGGAAGTAGTCTGCAAAACCTCCAAGTTTAGAAGACTTCTCCATGCAAGTCTGCTATTCCTGACCTTCTTTCTCATGAGTTTTACTCTCCCCTTCCGCAGCACATCTACATGGCGTTCCTCTACAGCATCGTCTTCCTGAAGAGCATCTTCCTCAACGACTTCCAAGCTCTAATCGACGGCCAGACTGGCGTGTGAGTCCCCAGCTCGCCTTTTCTTTTGTATGTCGTCCACTCCCTGCCTGAGGAGAAACATATTGAAAGTCTCGTTCCTACTTGTTCTTGGATAGAAGTGCAGGTTGGAAGTCGGTTTGTTTCTGCTGTCTGCGCACAATCAACCCTCAGAATGATTATTTCAGGAACGCTCATCACGAGTACACAAAGCTCGCCTTTCGAGCGTTGGAAGCGAAACATTGAGGCGTCCAGGTTTCTTTTCAGAAAGCAACGAAGTTGTTTGATGTCAGTCAGTTCAATCCCGCGTCAATTGGGTTCACCTCGAGCAGAAGATGAGCAGGATTTGACGATCACCTCGCTTTCTGCAGCGTACGCATCGCCCGCATGACTCCCATGGAGACGTTCTTCTTCTGGACCACCAAGGCGTTCTACGTGGGGTATATGTTCGTGTTGCCTGCGCTCTACAGCCCGCTTTCAGGCTGGAAGATCGCGCTCCTCTATGTCTTTTCTCAGGTGAAGCATACGCAACATCTGAGCCAACTTCATTTTGAAACTGGAGACGAATATCGAAATAGCAGATGCCATAATGGACATCTCAGTATCGCAAATTGTTGCTTCGTCTCTCTTTTCTTCAAACAAACGATTTTCCTCTGGCTAGGCCGGAAAAGCGCGTGCTTCTCTCCTGTGTTCCAGGTTTGGGCTGTCCTGTGTTGTTAAAAAGATGAGTAGCCGTCAAGAGCTTGGTCATGCAGCCTGCCTGTGATGCGAGTATGCTCATCGGAATCATGGTCTGAACCTTTCGCATACCGCGCTTCTTTTGCAGGTGTTCATTGCGTGGATTCTGATCAGCGTGTTCCAAGTCGCGCACGTGGTCGAAGAGGTGGAGTACCACAAGCCGACGGAAGCGGCCGGTAGCCTGGGGGGCAAGGTCGAGAAGGACTGGGCGAAAGCGCAGGTCGCGTCCACCGCCGACTTCGCCCCAGGGTCGCTCCTCTGGCTGCACCTCACGGGGGGGCTCAGCTGCCAGGTAAAGCTAGTCTGTTTCTTTTGCCACTGTTTATGTTCCTCCTGCTTATTGCCTTCACTTTCAACAGCAGTGGAAGGGCGAACGTGAATGCGCCTGAAGTCTTTCTTCTGACTGCACCTCGTGGGGGGGCTTGACTGCCAGGTATGCAGATGAGGCCGGGTCTTCAAAATCCAGTATTTCAAGGTTTGAAGATTTTGGTGATCTGCCATGAGGATTCGGTGGACTGCTGCAAGCTGGTGAAATGCTGCTTGTTTGGCAGTGTGGTGGTACAGCGCTTCTTGAGCGTTGGTCAAGCAACTGGCTCTGCGCGTTTGGAGCTGACAATTAAGCACGGCTTAAATTTGGGTCAAGCAGCGTCCGGCCTGTTTTGGGCTCACTTGGAGAACAGTGGCCTTTCGCCAGTAGTCTCCCGATGGCCGTTCGATGCCGACCGGTGCCTTGTTCCCGTTTGTGCTCCAATTGGGCTTCAGGCCCGAGCAAAGTCGTCAACGCGTCAGTATGTTGACTTGTTTTTTGCGTTGGAACTTGGTGATCTAGGAGTTTGAAGCCGCACATCAACCAATGCTGAGAGCTGAATAGGAGCAATATTTGGCCGCAGATCGAACACCATCTCTTTCCCGGAGTGTGCCACGTGTACTACCCGGAGATTGCGCCAATCGTACAGCAGACGTGCAAGGAGTTCGACGTGCCATACAACTGCCACCCCTCGGTAAGCAAAAGCTGGCACAACTTGAGGTCAACCCCAGTCTGCGCTCAGTGGAGTTCGGCTATCCTGGTTGATTGAAATTTGCGAGAGCCGGATTAGGCACCCCGTGCTCGCCAATACCAAGTTTGTAAAAACGGATGTGCGAGCCGAAGAAAGAGCTGTCCCAAGGTATTATGCAAGTACGGTACATCTTACAGTGAATGCGCAACGGGCCGACACAAGCCAGGCTCGAACGCATGCAGATTTTGCGGGTACACTGTCAGGTATTTGCGTCGCCAGCTGCAAGAACGAACAAAAAATCTCGGGGACTTATGTAATCTTGCTGCAGTCCGTCCGAGTCTTCCAAGTTCGGCCCCTTTTGTTACCGGGTATTTTTGTTTTTGCTGATATTTAGATCCGAGAAATTTGACGGGTGCTATCCCTGCTAACCCGCCAGTAAGGAAGAGCCAAGGTTGAGATGGTCGCTCATATAGCACGACAACAAGTATTTGCGCTGTCCCTGTTATTTTTCGTAGAGGCGCTAAAGCCAAGGTCACTGACGTCCTTCGTCGACGTTTGCAGCTGTGGGCGGGTCTGCAGTCGCACTTCCGCCACATGCGGAAGATGGGAGTGCAGAACCTCGACATTCGCTTGGACGGCTAGAGCGGCGATTGGGCCAAGATTGGCGCTGGCACGTCAAAGATCTAAAACGGTTGCAAAAAGTTGAAGTCAAAAGCAAGGTATCGTGGCTCGCAGCAGACGAGAAGCTCATTTGGGCTAGCTAGGGGTATTTCTGCTAGGGGTATTTCTTTTCGTTGGTGTTGTCGCATCGCTCGCAATCAGTATTGTTGAGTTGAAAAAGACTTCCGATATTCAACGCAGGAGCAGCCAAGTAGTTGCTAGTAAAAGTTGACGAAGTAGCCTGTAGGCTTTAAATTTTCTTAAATAGCTATTTAAACAACGTGCTTTTTCTCTTGAGCATTAGAGGCGGACTTCTTCCGAAGAGACCTCGTTGTTGTTTCCCTGTCCGTTGAAACCCTTCGCTGTAGTCGTCAGACTAAAAACTGTCCTCGTCATATTAAAGCGCAGAGAGTCCGACTCGACAAGTAGAGAATCGTGTCGATCAGCCTATCAGGGTTGAGGGACGACAATAAACGGGTGCAGACAATACTTGGAATCCAGACATTCATAGACCAGCCTTACAACGAAGCTAACGATCGTACATAACCGTCTTAACCACCATTCTGTTTCCTGACTTACGAGTCACGTTTCAGAAGCCTCTTGTCAGCCCTTTACTGGTACGTTCAGTGGGCATGTTCGACAACAAATATTGGTATCGCAAACTGTGACTGGCCCCGCGGCCGCTTGATCGACATGTGCACTTAATGCATCAAACGCTAGATGCTCTTAATGTCTTGATCGATTATACCGCCAGTGTACCATGGACATTCCTGACATCATATATCGCGAGATTGCTCAACAACCGTGCATGCATGCGGAACGTAATGATTGCAATCAAGTCGTACTGAGCATGCCAGGTAAAAATCTGGTTGATCGATAACATGCACGTGATTAGTCACTATCTTATACAGCCATATGTGCAGAGTCGGACTACATTGAAACAATGTCATGCTTATACCGGTACGGTATATACGGTATACCGGGTCACAATTCGCACACGTTGGTTTTGCGCACGCGCAATTTGTCTGTGCCTCCAAGTCAGCTCAAGGTCATGCTCTAAATTGGACGTACGTTTGGAGGATGAGTGCATGAATGATTTGATCAAAGACAGGCTTTATGACCCAGACGGATTTTATGGCAGTATTGCGACTCATGCATTTCAACATGTCTCCCGTGATATGTTCTGATCCTCAACGAACGCGGAGGACTATTTCAAGGCCAAAAATGGACCACGAAACCTTGATCTTGCGGTCCACATTCTCAATGTGTTTCTTCGCCCACCTTGCAAACTCACGTTTTGGGGGTGAACCTACTATTTGTACAGTCGGACCTTTCTAAAGATGACACCACTGTCCCAGCCCATAGGCGTCTTATTGACTAACCCCTAAGCGGTGGTGAACGCTCGCACAACCTCGAGGATGGGTGCACGGCACAGAGGGCACTTCCCCGTGCTCTGCTGCAGCTGCCTCGCGCACGAGTGGCAGGCGCACATATGGCCGCACCTGCACAAAGGACATACAGTCTGCTTGTGATCAAGCACAACAGAGTCCTATTCTACAGACGGTGGAAACTATGGAAATGCTTCGCACTCTGAGTGAGCTAACTCTTTGAATATCTCGCAGTTGTTCTCTTTTGAGTTCGTCATGAGAAGATTGTGGGGCCATTTGAGATTACTAGGACTCCCCTCGACCGAGATGTCCAGGCCTTCTTTCCCGTGCACTCTTCTATGCAGATGTGTTGGGCCCCTGCAATCCTGATGCGGCGGCCATTGAAGAAGAGACAAGGTCGTGAAAACAGTTTTTGCATCCGGAATGATGACTATGTTTCAATGAGAAAAACCACCCAGTTCTCAATGAAAGGGGACTGGTCGTTGTTTGCAGCACGGACGCGGCAAACAAGATGGGATAAAGTGGACCCTCTCAGCTTGAAACCTTCCTACCAGCTCTCAGTTGTTACCAAGAAACCACCTTTTCCGTCCCAGGCCTTTACGCCGTTGGGCTCGGGACAAGCTCCCCTTTCGGTTGGGAACCGCTGATAAGGGGAGTCTGTCATCACGGGTTTGTATACGCTGCAGCTCCTACTCTGTGACTCGGTTTTCATCCCTCTTCTAGTTGGGCCATTGCTGATGAACACAGTCGATACTCAAAGGTTCGCAAGACGTGTATATTCTTGTTTGGAAGTGACGTCCTCACCGATAAAGGAGGGCGTCAATGCCGCTCTCGCAGCAGACGCAGCACACGCCCCGTCTGACGGTAGCCCACGTGGCACCATCCAACGGCTCCTGGGGGATCCCCCGGCCAGCGTCGTGCACGCGCGAGAGGGCCCCTGCCACCTCCTGACGGATGGACCGTTGCAGCTCCAGCTGTGCACAGACACGAAGACGTTAACCGAAGGGTTAGGGGGGCATTTGCAAAACCCGATCTGGTCGTCTGATCAGCGCTATGCGGGGAGAAGGAAATAGTGAACCCCCGGCTGCAAGTACGTATGTATAAGTTGGGTTCCCAGATTACTTGAGCAGACAGGGTGAAACCGGCAAGGATAGCTGAAGAGGTGGAAATAGAGTGATTCTTGGGACAGATGAAGAAGGGTAATACTCTTGATGAGGGGCTAGGGGCTCAAAAGACAATTGGGCAATGGACCGCTGCAATCTAAATGTACAAAATCTTTCTGAACAAGCAAAAAAATAAAATTTAGTGAGCCAAAAGAAGCAGGAAGATGGGGCCACAGTGACTACCGGGCCGGTTCACTCCAAGGGAAAAGGCAGAGTACAAATGCACTACTCCAACTTGGGTAGAAGAGAAAGAAGCGCTAAGCGAGTGCAGCCAGATTCAGCAAAGTCGCCGGTATGCGACCCGAAAAAGTCGCTTCCTGATGAAAGGGGCTCTCTTCTAAACCCCACTAACCTTTCCTGCCCTCAAAAAAGCACTACCCGAACACACACATACACAATTAGATTGGTAGAGCATACGAGCCATCGCACCGATGGGTCGGTCTTGGTACCTTGTTTCATAACCGTTGACTCCTTACACTCTCCGCACCAAACTCGCCCAATTTACAAACTACTGCATACCCGTTCGAAGGGACTCATTCCAATTGAACCTGCTCTTAAAGCAAAAGCAAGAAGCACCAATGTCTTGGTCAGACATTAACCCGGCACCCACCTGCATCTCGAAACAGTTTTCCATAAGCCCGCGCATCTGCTCCATCTCCTGGCGCAGCTCCCGAACGCTCTCCCGCAGATCGTGACTGCTGCCGCCGTTTCCCTGAAAAAGCACGAAAGCGCTATCAACCCATGAGCGCCAAAGAAACAGCGGTTGAGGGGTTTGAACGCCATAGTCTGTCATGCTCTCGATCAAGATGGGTGCCACAGCGTCTCAAAAGCAGCGGTGATTTCTTAAGACGGCTTACAAGGAGGTTGAGAATCTCTCAAGTTCATTTCTGCCATCAGATTGCTCTCAGTCTGCTATTTCCGCACTGCAATTTGATATGAAAACGTTCGGAAACGTCATCATTTTTAAATACTTTGGCCCACATGAGCCCTTCAAAAAAACAATAAGCGGCAAACTTTGGAGGACGCGTCGACCTCCAAAACTCCGCGGCCTGGATTGCTGAACGCCTGAAGGTCTCCAATCGGGCTCGAGCAAGGAACTAACCTGCTGGGATAAAAAGCTCCCAACCATGGAAAGCAAGGCAAGTTAGATGATTGACAACGTATGATGCTATGTATCCTGACGTTCCCCAACCCCCTCGAAAACACGTCAGTCTTTTGTTCTGCACTCCGTCGCGTATCCGAGACGAAGGATGTTCCAATTTGGGGCGATCCCTTTCGTGGGCCGTACAAAGAGAACTGCGAGGCCTTACGCAATCAAGGCGGATTGTGCAGGTGCTGATACCGGTCTTTCATGAGGCCGAAGAATTGACTCCGTTTGGTGCGTGGAAACAAATGCCGCTCAGAAATCACCCAAAAAGGCGTTGCACAACGAAGACTCTAGTGCAAACACGTGGCGGCCTTACTGCGTGCCACCTGGCGGGCGCCGCCGCTACCGCCATCTGAGCGGGCTGCCAAAGCGGGGCCTGCGGCAGGGGCGGGGGAGCGGGGGGGGCGGCTGCTGGGGGAGCCTGTGGATTTAAATGGGCCGAGATCAGATAAGATGGAAAATTTGCAGGGTTTGATGAAGGCCTGTGTACAACCAGTTTTTGAAAAGAGAGAGAAGACTGAAGGGGAATATGAAAAGCATCAGAAGCTTGGATTGAAATGGTTGATATGATTCTAGTCAGCGCGGATTGAGACACAACGAGATTTGGCGGCGCGCTGTGTACGGAATGTGCCGAGATTGAGACAATCAGAGACTCGTTGGTGATTAGCAGGAGCCTATGTACTGGATTCCGGAACTGAAACAAACGGAGAATGGTCAAGAGATAGTTGTCTGCGTCTCCCCACACTAAAGCCGGTAGCAATGATGAGTCGAAGGTCTCGATAGAAACGCGTGTAAGTTGTGCTGGAACGGCTTCGATCCACATGGCTCAACAAAGGCCAGCGCCCAGATTAGAACCCTGTTCCGACTTGGATTTGCAGCACCGAGAATCACAAATTCAGAGATCTACACTCTTCTCCTCTCAGACCCGAGAAACAAACTTTCTGGGTGACTCATCCTGGTTCATGTCCGGAACCCAATACTTACCACGAGCTAAACATTACTTGGATCAGTAAAGTGCCCCCTGTCTCCCTCTCTTTTCTAGAACGTAATAAGCCAAAAGCAACAGTTTCTTTATCACCGCTTCAGAAGACGAATCTTTGAGGAGCTTCCGTATTGATTCCATGCTTCAATGTAGCCTCACCCTACAATAACGGACTCAAACTGACCCATCTTGGTTGTTTTCAGGTTCTTGCACACCGAATCTCAGCAAAAGTCACCTGAGGAGCGGCGATGGCTTGCCGGGGAACTCCCTGGTTGACTGGCCGGTGGGCGGTGGTTCCCACCCGGGTTAGCACCAGTGAGTTAACCAGGTCCTCTAACCGGTTGCGGAACTCGCTCGTCAGAATGGTGCTCACGTTGCGCCTGCAAGCGGTCAAGGAACGGGTTAAGAACAGGGTTCAGGAACCGTGGTTTGTCCGCAAATCAAGAAGTCGATATCAGCAGTTGTGTTTAGGCAAACAAGTACTGGGCTGGAAGTTACGGAAATTGGTGATAGAGAGAACTAGAGTAGGATCAACCCACCTGGTTAGCAGCTCTTGCAGTTCCAGGTTATACGCACTCGCCTCGTCCACCCACCGCTCCTGCGGGGCTCGCCCGGCTCGTACTCCACTCCTCAACCCCCCTGCTAATCCAATACCCGCCCCCTGGTTGGCACCCAGTTCCTGAATAACCCTCGCTGCTACACCTTGGTTATGCCCTGCAACCCCGTTAACTCTCGGGGCAGCACCCTGGTTAGCCCCGAACCCTTGGTTACCGTTTGCTACCACCCCCTGGTTACCCCCTGACCCTTGATTAACCCTCGGGTTTGTGTTGAGGCGCTCGCCGGCGGCCTGCCGGCGGACGATGTTTTCAAGGTTGTGGCGGAAGAGTTCCCGGATGCCGCTGACAGGGCGACGAGCCCGCAGGCTGCCCATCTCTTCGACGCGGGCGCGGGGGGTGTGAGAGAGGGGGGGGGCGTCGGGCGCGGCGGGATTTTGGTGCGAGGACCGGCCATGGAAAAGCGACTGCAGAAACAAATGCAAGAACGTTCTCACATCGATCATGTCTTTTCTTCGTCCTCTGTTTCTGCTTGCCCCTCTGACTGACGGTCAGGGGACTACTCAGGACAGGACTAAGGAACGATTGAAAACGAATCTGGATAGTCAGGGAGAGGGAAGTGGCAAGGAAAGCATGCAGGTTGATCATGACCCGAAGTACAGCACTACCTTCGTGGCTGCCTGCTTCCCATCTTTTCGACATTTTCTCGTTTCCGAATGAAGAATCAGGGGTTGAATCAACCACGGACAGAAAGCTGACCGTACCTGAAGCCGCGTCCTGTGCGCAAACGCCGACACAGCCCGTTGCTGTCCGAGCCCCGCCAGCTCGCGCTCCCGCTCCGCCGCCTCTAAATCCAGAAAGCGGTCTCGCTGCGCCGCGCGATGACGGACCATCTGACGCTCCCGCTGTGTGGCCTCCGTGCGCGAGCGCGCGCTTTCCCGCAAGCGGACTAACTCGCTGACACTGACTTGGATGCGGGCTTGGGGCGGGTTAGGAGGGGTTTGAGGGGGGTTAAGGGGGGTGATTTGTACAAGGTTCTGGGTTTGTGGTTGTTGGCGGGGTTCTGCGGTGGAGGGTGCTGCGTTGGAGGAGTTTGCAATCTGATCGAACGACGCCTCTCGTGTTACTGTCTGCTCAAGTGGAATAGAAGTCTCTGGACCCCCAGCTGACAAGTTACTGCCCTCCTCAGCACCCATTCCGTTATTGGCGTCCAAACCTCCTTCACTTCCGACAGCCACCTCTGTTCCGTCCTGCCCTTCACTATCACCGGTGCCCCCGTCTCTCTCCATCTGACTACTTTCTTGATACACATCATCCCTGTTTCCATCCCCGTTGCTATTCACATCAGTGGCGTCAGGTTGCCTCCGAACAACCCCTCGCCGAGGAGCCCTACTTCGAAGCTCCTCCGTTTCTAAGTGCCTATGAAGCTCCATTTCCCGCCAACGCTGCAGGGCCTCCAGGTGCGCCCTCTGCATGTAGGGCTCAAAGTCGAGGTCCCGGCGGGAAGTAGAGGCGGCAGGTTCGTCCTGCAAACAAATGTTTATCTCATCAAAGCAGCCGCCTTAAGATGGTTTAATCATGCTTTTCCAGAAAGAGGATGGTTATTATTACAGATTCGTCCCAGCTCGTGATCAAGATCTACCAATTCGGCTAACCATCTATTCAAGCAAGCTTGATTGGCTTGACCACTAGGACAATGCGCACGCGTTTGAGATCCAGATGTCACAGAACTGCTCATGCTGTGCTGGCAAATGCCAAGCTGTACTTAAGTTGGCACGTAGTCTTGGAAGAGAACAAACTCGGAGGATGTTGAGAAGCAGAAACCTTTGTAGCTTCAACGTAAGTGGTTGCAGAGGGGACGAGGCAGTACCCGCAGAAAAGAGGCGCCCAGCATGCTTGACACTGCTTGCATCCTCGACAAGGCCACCAGCTCTGGAACCTGTGACATAGTGTCACAATCATGTGAGTCCCGGGGCCGCCGGCGCCTGAGGAGCCCCCCTTGTTCTCCCTCGTCTTCATCAGTGATCACTCCAGAGCTCTCTCCGATTTCGTAAACATCCGCGCCACCGGGATCGCTTGATCTCTCCTCTGATGAAGCTTTCACATCACACCCCTCGTTGCGTTCAGACGCTGCCTGATTGCCTTTGTCTATTCCAACAACAGACTTCTCGTTCTGTCCCGCCCCAACACCGCCGTCACTTTGGCACGCCTGTTCCGCTTCATTGTTTTCGAACTCGATCTCGTCATGGTTTCCCCTCTCCACAGCAGAGGCGCTCCCATCCCCCTGGAAACGAAACCGGTGGCCAAAGGTCTCCCCAGCAGCAGCTTCCATGCAAGCGGTGAGGTGGTCTCCAATGAGGGCTTCCAGGCCCCTCCGAAACAGAGCATCTGCGTTGGTCACCGCACGCGCCTCCTCAATCGCCATCATCTCCTGTTTCTGCTGCACCTGTAAGGATGATGTCAGCAGCGACGTCAGCACTGGAGTCGGCTGAGAGTGAGTGCCCTGGTACTTGGGTTTTCCAAAGCACTGGCTGAGGGCAAAACCCTAAACACGACGGCAGCTTACAAGAAGGTGAACAAGACCAGCTGAAATCTTAGGGGCACCGGAAACCCTTGGAAAATCCTTCACCGGCAGGCTGCCAGTCTTGGATCTTGCATCAAATAGCTCAACAAGCAAGTTGTGTAGTTGGACAACCTGAAGATACCACAATGGTTTCAAAAAGCCAGCTCGAACACCTTCCAATGAGTCCAATCAACCAAGTTGGGGTGATGTGCCTGACTCAGCTGGCTGAAAGCACGTTTCAACAGTCCCTTGATCAGATGCGCAATCTTTCGTGTACTTCTAGACGAGCCTGTGATATCTCACTCCCCAGCTCAAGGTCAAACAGAAAAAACACAAAGGTTCTTCAAACACTTCCGCAATTTATGCACAAAAACAGACATTCTATCATAAGGCGAACAGCCAGCAATCTTCAGCAAGGAGAGGAACTCAGTCAACATGTTGATTGTACAGAATAATCAGACATTTGTTTCCTGCAGATATTGTGACTGTTGATGTGCCAGGACACAATGCTGCGTGTTTACAGTACCAACCTCTCAGTACTTGCTTGATGAGAGTTGGTCCAGCCAGCTCAATGCCAGATGTGAAAAGCCGCAACAAATGCAGCAGAGCGCTGAACAAAGCCTTTGTGACTCACAAGTTGCAATTGCAGGATGGCAGCAAGCCGCTCGTCCCCATCACATCCTTCCTCCTGCTCGTGCAGGATGCTGACGTCATCCCCCGATGATGTCGCATCCATGCTAGCCGCTCCCGCTTCCTCAATCTCACTAGGGCCCTCAGGCTTTCTTTGGCAGCGGCCCTCCTGCGAGATGCTCACGGCCGTCCCTGGCATGCTCTCCGGAGCCCTCGGAGGAAGCTGACATCTTCCCTCCTCCATTGCAGCAACGACGCCCGCAGCAAAGCTGCCAGTGCTGGCGCCAGCACGAACTCGACAAAACCCTACCCAAGACTCAAGAGCAGCCCAAGAGTCAAGACAGTGTCAGAACTTAGAAGTGGCCAATGGCCATCTAGATTCAATTTCTAGCTCTCAGAGCTGCTCTGCTTCATCTCCCTTCCTTCCCAGTGCCCACGCTTCAGCTGCATCCTCGCCGTTCCTCGGTTCAACCTGAGGCCCCTCTTCCACTAGCGGTCGGTCTTCGATTCCTCTATTACGGTAGACCGGTCTTACACTGGTCTTCGGTCACCGGTCTTCCGAGAACTCCGTGCCACGTCGGCGGTCAAGAAGTATTTATTTTACTACCGCTGGATTTCGCCGGTACTGAAATAATTCCACCGGTCTTCCGAAGGATCCGTCAAATCCAACCAATGACAAGGCGGCGCGCACCGTGGGGCTCGAACGGCAATGATTGAGTAGCCTGTCTACACTGGTGCCGCCATTTTTGAGACGAAGACCGACCGGAAGAAGGACCGGAGACCTCTTCCATTGTGTAGCGGTCGGTCTTCAATTCTCTGAAATTCTATTGGCTGGCTCCGCATTCCTCCGGTCTTTCTAGCGGGTCTTCGAATTTTAATTTCGGGAAGACCAGACCGGTAGTGGAAGAGGGGCCTCAGGTGCATCATGCACCGACTTAGACTAGTCGGGACTCGGCTGCATGCATGCCCGCCCCAGCCGGAGCGCCCTCGGGCGGGCTACCTCACTGACACCGAAATAAAACACCGGGAGAGTAAAGACATCCCCGATCCAGTCCCCCAGTGACCCTGGTTAAGGTCTTGACCGCCGGGGCCCTGCCCCCGGGTCTCGTAAAGGAGACGGTTATCTGGTTAAATGACCCTGATTGCGTCGGTGTTTTCTACCGGCTTTGCCACTTGCTTGGGGTTAAACTCTCCGGATGGCTTACGAATTTGTGCGTACGACCGGTGCTACCACATCGGGTAACCCTTGACTCGGGGGAAAGACGCGGACTGCCCGGAGGATGACATCAGCGGGTGATCGTTCTGACATCAGCCTCTGCTACTTGTGCAATAAGCTAGCGCCAGCGCGACAAGCCCATGGCTTCAAAGAAACGCTTTTCAAAAGCCAATGCCAATGGCAATGGAAATGGCGGCTCCTTCTGCAGCTTGTTTCTGTGCGGTCTTCAATCAGCATGTGGCCTGGGGGAGCGTTAGGGCGATCTTTTACTAGTACTGCGGCAGCTTCGAAAAAGCAGTAGGGACTGTAGTTGGCACTTTGGCGGAGGCGCTTGTGTTTTTGTTTGTGTTTGCAGCTGTGCGGGACTCATAGGCTTCAAGCCAGCTCTGTCCTTCTCAATGGGCACATATGTAGGAGGTTTGATGTGCTGGAAGCAGAAGAAGGGTGAGGTGTGAAACGTTTGACATTACGGTGGTGTGGCAAAGTTGTGCCAGACATTTTGGCTTCTTGCACTTGCTGAAAACAGAGGTGCAAGCGAGCAACTTCTGGCCAGCTCTTTAAGGGACACAGCAGAAGATCAGATCTTAGGGTGGGCATTACAGTAGTGGCAACTAGCATCCAACACAAATGCGCATAAAGCAGGGCTGGTCACATTGAAAACCAGGCAACCTTTGCACGGAGGTAAGGGAGCAACAAAAAGTCCTTGCTTCAGTAGAACGACGAGTCTTTGATAGCCACCCCTAGAGAAGGGGACACCATGCAGGGCTACAACTAGTTTTAGCCTCCATTAACCCTTTCTCAACCCTCCGTTGGCTGGAGCCTTAACCACCGCTGTAAACTTCTCCAAACCCGTGGCGTAAGCTGCCCCAAACCTGCCAGGGGTGAGGCCTTGACCCCACTGGCAGGGCTGGCGATCATCGTCCAGATGGCCATCACCTTGACCACTTTTCTAACCTTCTTTAGAACCTGAGTTAACCTGCCGGAAACCACTATGGCTGAGGCCTTGACCGCGCTGGCGGGGTTAGCGACCATCGTCCAGATGGCCATCGCCGCCGGCATGAAGGCCAAGAGCCACAAGCACAACGTGCAAGCACTTGTGCGCCGGCTCAAGCTCGTACCCCCACTCATTGAGGAGGTGCGCGCCTCAAGGACCCCCCTGACTGAGGCGCAGCTGAACGTGTTTGAGAACTTGGAGCACGCAATGCAGAGGGCCAAGGACCTGCTGACCAAGTGCAGCGAGAACAGCAAGCTGTACATGATCTTCCGGGGGGATAGCATTGTGCAGAAGTTCCGAGACGTGGGACTAGACCTCGACCGGTGCCTCTCAGCGCTTCCCCTTGTGCAGCTCAAAGTGTCTGACGGTACCCTTGAGAAGGTGAGGAAGGAACCGATGGTGTGCTTAACTTTAGGCCTCAAAGAAGAGCAATGGCCTTGAGTGAATGTCTCCTTTCTGACTTGCTATCATGTGCAAGCTGACCCGTGCATTCTCCGGGCAACTGATGCACAATCAAAGAAACAGAATGCAGTAAGAATGTGGAGTTTGCAGTCTCTTAGTGCGTACGAGTCTAGCCTCGACTTGTGTGACAGTCTTAACATTGTTGGACAGTCAGTACTCTGGTTTGACTCGTAGCACCCCTCTTTGCACAATTGTTTCAGCCCGCAGATGCTTTGAAGAGTTGATTTCTGCTGACGACCTGAAAGAATCCATGTAGTCTTTTGGTGCACCACTTGGGGGTATATACGTCCTTCTTCTGTAAGCATGCATCCTTGCGTGCTCAGTTCACGGCACTATAAGGTTCATCTGTATGCTAGAGCATTCTTGCATCAACAGGCAACACCCATCGGGCTGTAACCATGTTGCGAAAACTTCTCACAACTGCGATCCAGTCTGCTCACTGAAGCGTCTTCTTGTCATTCCCCTCTTTCCATCTCCTATACTTTGTTCTTTGTTCTTTTGCGATTGGTGTTTTGGAAGTCATATCAATCAGAAGTGATGATGCACTTAGGGTAAAGATCGAAATTCATCCGACAAAATCACAAGATGTACTAGAAACGCTTTTGCAGATTGAAGAGGTGAGCGTGGCCCTCCGTGAGACAAAGTTTAAGGTGGATGTCGTCGACCAGAACTTGTCCCTCAAGATCGCAGAGGCTCTCAAGGAACAGCGGGAGGCGCAGCAGGTCAACGAGGACCTGCTCAGAAGGTCAGTAACTCCCTTGTACAAGCAAGTTAACCATTCATCAGGTAGATTCACTTTCAATTCTGGTTCTTAAAGACACTAATTCTTGGTAACAAGCGAGGGCTAAAATAACTTCTTTTCCAAGGTGATGTAGCCGAGGTGAAAATCCAGCAGTTGGGTCACTTTCTCATGTGTCAAAATTTTGAGTTGGACAGGTTCTGGCCGTGTGAACAATGAGAGGAAGCCTCGAATTTCTAGGCATTGCTTCAGCTTTCATGACACTTTGCTTTCCTCAAGGAAGTTGAATTGACGCTTGCCACACATCGTGTGTGCGGTTAAAAGAAACTGCCCTCCCAATGAATCTCTAACATGTCCAGCCATAGAGTCTATTTGTTCAGACCCTTTTCATGTCTAGATTTTGAACATTTTTCACCCCAAATCTTTTCGGTTGTCGCAGCCTGGCCACTCAACTGGACCTGACCACTGTCCAAGCATCCCGAGCGGAGGAAAAAGGCCTGCTGAGGGACCGGGAAGAGGCGCGAGCGGAGAAGGAACGAGGGGTATGCTCAAGCCTCTACTTTCATCCGTGCATATCTTGCTTCTTGTGAAAGTCTGCATGTCGTCCTTGAAAGTTGACCAAGTGCAGGAACGAAATGTTGATGAGCCCATCGACCAAAAACCTTCGCCATGATCTGCGTTGTAGGTTCTGAACCGCTTTGATTCGGAGGCACCATGCTTGCAGGCCAGTCTTGTGCAGTGACCCTTGTGATCCATTTTAAAGCCTCCTATTGTCACATGCATATGAGCTTGTTGACCTGAATTGTCATTACACTCTCGGCCTGTCACGTCAAATGCAAGATAGTCAGCGTCATCAACTGATCGAACACCATTCATCCAACAGAACAGCCACACATTTGACTCTCTCTGAAAGGTAGCTTAGGAATCAATCGTTTCTGCAAAGTTTCTCGAGTAGAAGCGACCTCCAAGCTTCTCAGCGAGAATACATTGAGCGTTTATTGCACTGGAATGACCCTTCTGTGGAGAAAGATGATTTTCTGCTCAAGTCGCAACTCTTTCCTGCTGTCTTTCGCAGGAGGAAGCGTATTCAACTAGATCATGCACCTTGTAGAATAATACATCAAGATCTCCTCTGCCAAACAACAAGAGACGCAGTTCTCGTGCTCAATCTCACGATTATTCTCTGCTGTATTCGCAGGAAGAGGCCTACATCAACCAGATTATCCACCTGCTAGACACGCTCGAGCTGGCCGACTCCTCGTCGCGCAAGGAGAGCCCCAAGTCGGTGCTGGTGCCACCGCCGCAGCCACCGGACGAGTTCCGCTGTCCGGTGTCGTTGGACCTTATGGCGGACCCAGTCATTCTGGATTCGGGGCATACCTTCGAGCGGGCTTACATCCAAAAGTGGTGAGTTTTCTCTTCTCTCGAACCGTTTGACAAGTGGAGGTGGTTATTGTTCACAATTGAAGCCGTTGAATCGTCCAGCTTTTCGAGTTGGCTGCGAAAACAAGGGGTGTGTTTTGCACTTGTGAGGGTCAATGCATTGATATTGCTTCCACTTTGCAGTCCTTTGGTTGCAGCCGTTGTGATCTTTTCAGCGTGCATCACAATTGCGCTAGGAGTTCAGGAGACTGTCTCCTGGACTATGCCTTCGCTGTTTCACGAACTTTGAACGGTCTCCTAAGACGTTGGTCCGTTTCTCTTGTCTGGCATTTCTTCAATGAAGTGCAGCGAAATGCCTCGTGCCTCCAGGTGACTTCTCGGTTCTATCGGGAGGAGTGTTTGTCAGCATTCTCCGAGTAAAGGAATGGTTGCTCGCTTCATCTCGTCGTCCAGAGATTCTGCAAAGAGCGTTGACGATCGGTCGACCTTGTTCCTGGAACAGCGAGCAGACTGAAAATGTGAATACCAGAAAAGGAAACGGAATAATAGGATCCTAAGACAGAAATGTCGTGTGTTTCTTCATCCAAACAGGTTGGACGACGGCCATCGCACATGTCCCATCTCCCGCAAACCGCTGATGACGCTCAAGCTCATCCCCAACCAGACGCTCAAGGGCATGATCATCACGTGGTGCGAGAAGAACCACGTGCCCCTGCCGACCCTCCCCGTGCTCAGAATGGAACCCCTCGCTGACGTGGCACCTTCTGCTGACGTGGCACGTGAGGCTGACGTGGCGCCGGCCATCCTCGAAGGCTTCAAGGGCTTGCGTTTCAACAACGACTTCAGCGGGAGTTCCGCGGAGTGGGAAGAGTACGAGATTGCAGAGCGGGGGAGCAAGAAGCGGCGGGGGATCTCGAAGTTTGAAGAGGAGCTCAGCCGGTTTGCGGGCCACCAAACCGGGTTAGCGGAGCTGTTTGGCAAACCCGGGTCAAGGCGCAGCAAGGCAAACGAGATGATCCGGGGGGTAGAGGCAGCGCCTCAGCGGCTGATGCTGTATAACATCGAAACGGAGAGCGGTGGAAGCGGGCCGATCGCCGAGGGTTTGGCGTTTGGGGCGTCGAATGCTGACGCTGTCTCAACGGGGCCAAGTCCTACCTCTGGACAGAGTTCGGACGGGTCGAAGAACCGGAACTCAGGACAGCTGTCGGACAGGTCGAGAAACTCTGGGCAGCTTCCGGACGGGTTGAAGAACTCCGGGCAGTTTTCGGACGGCTTGAAAAATTCCGGTCAGTTCTCGGACGGGTTCAGCGCGCTCGGCGACCTGTACAACTCGGGAAGCTTGAAGCTGGGCGACCCAGACGCCTACGCGAGCGTCGACATCCGCGACCTTATGTGCGAGAGCCCGCTGCGCGACGACGTCATTGCGCCGATCGATGACGTCAGCATTCCGCTCGGCGACGGGCTGCTTGGTTTCGGTGGGGGGGAGCAGGGGCCAGGGGACTCGAGCCCGTCGCGGGGGTCGGGTTTATTCGGCGAGCCGAAATTCCGGTTGAGCTGGGCGCGGCGGAACTCGGAGAACAAGCTTTTGTTGCCCGAGATGTGCCCCAGTACTAGTTACCAAGCGGAGTTGGGGTCACTAGAGTCGCCCCAGGGTTTGGGCTCGGATCCTTTGGGGGGGGTAACCGAGCAGGGTTATCAGGGGATGTTGCTCAAGCCGCACGGTTTCGAAACGCAGCGTGAGAGCGGAAAGGAGCGGGTTTTGGAGGAGGGGTTGAGATTAGCGGATGGGCACTCGGGGCCTCAAGACGGTTATCAGGAGAAGCGGTCTCTCCCTCTTGATTTTCTTTTGGAGACTTCGCCCTCTGGGGGTCAAAGCCACAGACACGGACACAAGGAGCATCTTCGGCCGCTCGCGCGGGGGGGCGCGAGCGTGCATGGTGTGAAAAAGGGGGGCGTCAGCAAGGGGGCTGCGCACAGTGGCAGCGGGCATAATCGGGAGGGGTTAACGAACGGAGTTTTTGGGATCGGGTCGACGGGAAATGGGGGTCTGGACTGGGCCGGTGGCATGGGGGGGATCGGAGGCCAACCGCACAAGGAGAGTTTGCAAGGAGCACTTGCCGGTGCTGGCGAGGTTAGTGCAAAAGGGGGTGGAGGTGTGAACGGGCTCCGGGTTACAGAAGGGGTCAAAGTGCAGAAAGGCGGTGCGCACGGAGGGCTTGCTGGAGATAACAGTATTGACGGGGTTAGTGCGAACAGGGCCCAAGTTGCGAACGGGCTCGGTGCAAACGGGCATGGTGCGAACGGGCTCGGTGCGAATGGGCACCGGCCACCGTCGTTGACTGCGCGCACACTCAGCGGGGCGGGAGGGGTTTCCAGCAGACGAACGTTCTCGCAGCAACTGCACCACTTTGACTGGGAGATCGACGGCTTGGAATCGAGCCCGTCTCCCCCCGAGCTAATCCGGGGGGCGGGCGCGCTGCTGAACGGGCGAGACCGATCGAAAAGCTCTAGACGTTCCTCCGACCCTGTGCGGCAGGAGGGAAGGCTAGAGAGCGCGGCGGTGCACCGGCGGGGGGCATCGCTGCCCCAGGAACCGGCAGGTGTGAGATAGAAGGGGACTGGCTAAACACTGACCTTTCTGTCTTAGCTTCCACTGCGTTCAATGAGATAGGGCCTGGCCAGCATTTCGTATGCTCAATCAGTGGGCCATGACCCTGACAGCCCGCACTTTTTTGGCCCCCTCAGACCCGGCGCATAATGTGCATTTGTTCAATCCCTGTAGCCGTCTTCAGCGGGTTTGCAAGCCTGCATAGAGTTGCCGCTCGAACTCACAAATATCCAAAAACCGGGCCGAAACGTTCGAACCTAAGCAGTTACCGGCTCTTGGTAGAAGGCTCTCCTCCCTACCCTCTTGGAGATCCCAATAGCCCCCTTTGATGTGGCTTCTTAAGAAGCGGAATCCACTTTTGAGCCATTCAAAGCCGCCACTTTGCAAGTTTTACTGCTTTAGTGGTACAGGAGGGAGTCTGTTAACCTTCCGTCTCAAACACCCCTTCTTTTTGGCGGCAGGTCGCTGCCCCCCCTTTTGTGCTCTCCTTGAAAATTTCCAACATGCATATCAACGCAACTACTTTGCACAGATAAACTGCTTCAGAAACCTGACAGGTTTAGTCAAATATTATCCCAGACCAACCCGCCCCTCCTTGGCTGCAGGCCCTCCTCCGCTGGCTTTGCAGCCCCCCGATGCGCCACTTCAACTCAGCCACTTTTAACACATAAGTACTGCTTCGGAAGATCGTGAAGTATTAGTCAGATTCTCAATCCCTGCTTTTCCCCCACCCCGGCCTTTCGCTGCCCCTTCCCTTGGCTCGTAGCCCTCCGATATGTCATTCCAGAGCCGCCTTTTACCAACGAATCACATCTTGCAGATCCGGTGAAGCGTGGTAGTATTGCTGGCTCATCCTACCAACCCCCTCTTGTCTGCAGGCCCTCACCCCCCCCCCCCGCCTCGCCTCGCAGCCCTCCCATGCGCCATCCAAAAGCCGCCATTTTGTCTGAACTTACTGCCTGAAATGTGTATCAATCTCATTCTGCACCCCCCCCTCTTGGCTGCAGGCCCTTCGCCCCCCCTCCGCTCGCCTCGCAGCCCTCCGATGTGTCCCATTCTCGACGACTTCCTGCTGGACGCACCAGCCCAGAGCCCCCGCGAGTTCGGACACCGCGTCACCGCCCCTGCGCCGGACGTCCGAGCTGCCGCCCGGACAGACCGACCTGGTGAGGGGGTATTGCTGTTGGCCGCTCGTTTGGTTTGTCTTGGGGGCTTTTGCTGAGTCCGTTGTGGGCCTTTCGTCCGTTTTTGCTGATGTCTTCATCCTTTTCTTGCTAACTTACTGATCAGGTGTACAATTAAGGAGTTAGCTAAGCTCAGAAACTCAATTCTTCGCCATGTTGTGTTTGGCTGTGCTTAGGACTAACGGCTGATATCTATGCTGACGTCGACCCATTCTCTGGTGACTCGTCTTCTTTCGAATGTCTTTTTAGAGACACTCGTCTCAGCAGCTACGGGCTCTATTGGAGCTTTCCACTCCGTTGACTTGCTCAATGGCTCGTTACTTTTCCTCCCATCTGGAAGGCGGCATGGTTCCTGTGCACACGTATACCTATGCGCTTCTGCTTCAAAGGTACGAGCAAAGAGTCCAGTCGCTTACCTTCTAAAGGAGGATGTTGAGTACGCAAGTTTTCCAACGAGGCATAGCAGGAACGACCTGCAGCAATCATCTATGTGTTCACAAGTCGGTCAGACCCATTCGACACCATCTGCGAGCAGAGTCAGCGCTACTGTCCATATGCTTGCTGAACGTTCTCTTTTCTAAGCAGGATCTGGAGGAGATAAGCCCAAACCGTACCTGACCACCCCAGAAGAGGTGACCGCACTGCTGGATGCTCTGGACTCAGATGACGTCATGGTGAAGAGACACGCAGCAGAGCAGCTGCGCGCGCTGGGCAAGAACAGCAACGCCAATCGGGCCACAATCGCGGCTGCTGGTAAGGACCGATTGCTGCGTACATTGAATTCGGGGGAATCAAAGGTTTCCGTAAGGATGTAAGTGGCGTGCCTAACCTTTCTACTGGTGGCTTTTACCATGTGACAATACCACTTTCTTCCGAGAGCAACTGTGCTTGTTATCAATGACCCCTCTTCCGCGTTGCTTGAGAAGCAACGCCGTAACTTGGTTCTAAGTGCAGTCCCGGATCTCGTGGGGACGATGGGTTCACCGCATAACATCCAGCGTGATTAGAGTCCAGCTCTGAAACATTCGAATCCAGACATCTTTAGTGGACAAAGTGACTCTGAAACCCTAAACCCTATAACCTTAAAACCCTGAAGATTTCCTTTTATTTCTCCAGGCGCCATCCCGCTGCTTTTGGGCATGATCGACTCCCCCGACGCGCTGGTGCAAGAGCACGCGATCACCGCTATACTCAACCTCTCCATCAACGACGTCAATAAGACCGCACTTACAGTCGCGGGAGCGATCCCTGCGCTGGTAGAGGTGAGGTTTCGAAAATTCGACAAATCCCTGTGGCTGAGAGCAAGGTCTGCAGAATCAGGCATCGTGATTGCTCGATACGAGGGCCCGCGGCCACCCCAAACCAACCTCTGCCAAGCCGTAGAGTCCCTGGCTCATGTGGAGCTTCGCACAAGAACCCTTTAACAACATCAGGAGCACTGTACATGTTTACATTGCATTCCATCTGCCAAGCCTCTATGCAACCCCTTTCCCTCACCTGTGATCCTCGGGCAGCGGCAAAGAGGCTGCAGGCGCAAGCCTCTCGATCATGGCGGCTGCAAAGTCGCAATAAACGCTGGTCGCTTTCGTCATGGCCGTGAAACCCAATTAGTCACTGCACGAATTTGTGGTAAGTTCGTGGTCCTCGGGTGGCGTCAAGGAGGGCGCGGCTGGGATTCTGTTAGCCTGTCGGTGTTCGTATGACTGCAAAATTATGCTTCTAGGTTAATCCGATTCACTCAAACTCATAAAGTCACTGCTGAACCCGTGGGTTTATGCGCAGGTCCTGGCGAGTCCGTGGTCTTCGGGTGGCGCCAAAGAGGCGGCTGCCGCGACTCTCTTCAGCCTCTCGGTCATGGACGACTGCAAAGTCACGATCGGCGACGCCGGGGCGATTCCGCACCTCGTGGATTTGCTGCGGAACGGAACCCCCCGTGGGCGGAAAGACGCAGTGACAGCGTTGTTCAATCTGTCGATCTTCAGCGGGAACAAAGTGCGCATCCTCAAGGCTAAGGCGGTGCCGCTGCTGGTGACCCTTGTGAGGTGAGTGCCCGTTCAGGGTTTCAGGGGTACAGGGGTTCAGGATGTCGGATGTTTGCAATTTTGAGATGTCAGGATTTCAGGATTCCAAGATCTGTGGTGTCGGACAGATTCTAGGACGTTGATATGTTGGGGTCGTTGCCTGGTTTCAGGAGCGTCGTGCTTCTTTTAGCATTACAAAAGACGTGCTGCACGTGTCTTCTAAGAACCGAAAGACGGTTCTAGAGTTTAGGGTTTCTTAGGATTCCAGTATTGTAGGGCCGTTGTCTAGTCATTTGCTTCCTTTCGCTACACTTTCGTATTGCGTTAGAAAGAGGAAGTTCAGGCTTCGCGTCTTTGTTTCTCTGCCTTGCTCCGCTCCGTGCCTCCATGGGCGCATATGCCCGCTTTTGCTCGACCTATACCTTATTTGACGATACACTCACCCGGCTTTCGATGGGCTTTCTTCAAAGAAGCTCGTCGCTCGAGAAAGACATTTGGAACACGCGTTGCTCGTATCTTGAATTGTTTGAGGCCAAGCTGATCTTCAATTCGCTCTTTCATACGCGGCTTCTATATGGGAAACCACATTGCGCCAAGTCTCTTTGCACTTTTTCGCAGTCTTTCGCAGTGCTTCGGAGTTCTCCCACCCACAACGTTCGCTGCTGCGCGCTTCTCTGTTCCTTCGTAATCTCAACTAAGCAGTAGACCTTATCTTTCTGACAGGGACACCAGTGTCAGAGAAAAGTGCGTTGCCGTCCTGGCCAACCTGTCGACGATGAAGGACGGCCGCTCCAAGATCGGCGACGCCGGGGGGGTCGCCGTGCTAGTTGACCAAGTCGAAGTGGGCACCCCCCGGAGCAAAGAGAACGCGGCGGCGACGCTCCTGCAAATGGGCGTGAACAGCTCCCGGTACACTGCTGAGATGATACAGGCAAGTCCTGTTCCGAAACGAACAAACAATCTGGGTGCGCTCCGTTTGTTTCCCATTCGGAGTTACGATGCCATAGGCGATGACACGGAGCCATATCTTGTTTCGAGACAAGGTGCGACTGGTGTGAATGCTCGCTTCTACGACGGGATATAGCACTGATAAGTGGGAGGCTGCGTTATGAATGAACCTAGGCTGATAAGGCGTAGAATTAAGTTTTCCCCTTCTTTTGCTGCACAAACACGACGATGATTGTCCGTGAAACCGTGACACCGTGAAACAGTTGTCGGAAAAGTGCAATCCTCAGGTATTCCGGACTAAGCGAAGACTCACTTGGACTTCAGAGGTACGCGCTAGAGTCGGGTTTTCTCAGATGATTGGAGGAACTACCGAAGACATTTCCTCTGGAAGAAAGAAAACAATGCCGCTTTCTGTTATCAAAGTTTGTCTGATGCTTTATACACCGACCATCAAGCGTCGAGGCCTGCCATCACTGACGGCAAGCTGGCCTCAAGGAGTCGTCGGCTGTTCGTTTCAAGTTCAGCACCCGCTTGCGTGCGGCGAATGACTACTTGAAGGGAGGTCTTATTACTCATCCCGCGCCCAAGTAACGGGCAAATACCAGGTTGAATCGCAATAAGAATCTGAGGTTGGCAACCCCTCTGCAGGCCGGAGCCATCTCACCACTGCTGGCCTTGTCTCAAGACGGCACCCCACGGGCCAAGGAGAAAGCGCTCGCCCTGATCCGGCACTTCCGCGAGCAACGAAAGGGAGAGGCGGTCAGAGGCCACCCGACAGACCAGGGCGTTGGCTCGTTGTAAAGTAGTAGAGTTGATAGATCTCTAGCGTCGATTCCTGGGACTGTAAAAAGGGAGGATAGACTAATGCTAGCGGTCGCTTGCAGCGGACAGGAGAGAATAGTGACGCATCGCATGTCGTTCCATAAGGAACTGCAAGGACGACGGCTCTTGTATATGGTAGAGAGTGTTCAAGACTCG